ATCCTGGGGATTTTATATCATACCTGATGAGTTACTATCTGCCTGACATCAGGTGTGGTTCATCAGACCAGGTAGGCTGGAAAACCTGCTGGATACCAGCATTCCAGGATCAGGACTGCCTACCCCTGATGTGGAGGCAACAGGGCCATTTATGCATCTGTAAAAAATCATAAACTTTAATTTAGTAAGAATCCATTTCAGTTTTTGACATTGCTTTGATAATTAAGCACAAAGCATCTGGTTCCTGTGACATGGCTGGGGATTTAGTCATTGGAGGATGGATGGATGAATGGATGGATGGATGATGGGAAAAGCAATGTATATTCTGTATAGTCTGACACATTTGTGCATGTGTCCTTCCACAAAACCATTTGTGTCTCCATTTGCTTGCCCCCCTCCCACCGCCACACACTCACACAGTCATGCTTACATGGTCTTACGCACCAGCCCTCAGAGCCGTCCATCACCGTGCTGCTCTTAGGGCCGTGGATGGAGGCCTGTCATCCTGAGTTGCGGAAAGGCGATCGCTGACCGTGGAAAATAATATCTGCTATCGATCAGCCTGTCAGGATCTGACTTCAGTCAGCGAAACCGAAGATGGACAAGCCTGCTATTAACCCTTCTCCTTCTCAGGCGAGCGGGTCATGAGTTCCTGGTCCTGTATGAACCAGAAACAGTCCATATTTTGCCTTTGAAAAAGCTCTTCAGACATGAGACAACTGATATAAATAGAACCTTCTAGTCTAGGTGTTTAATCCACTTAACGATCTTGATGTAACTTCCAGCACTGCAAGCTTACTGCGGTTGTGGCCTGGTTGCCAATGGTGACGGCTCTGCTTTTCTGAGATCATAGGCCACACCCTCAGGCTGCCTCTGGCTCCCGCTTTGGATTATGGGAAAAAATAAATAAATGAGAAGGTGGAGTTCTGCCCCCTTTGGCAATCAGACACCATGAGACTGATATTCCCAACAAGCTCTAGTATTGGGAAGTGATTCCTCAGCCGTGGCACCCCCCAAAGACATGGAATAGAACACCCCGTAATGTGAGCGTCATGACGGGCTGACACCCCCCCACATGCCATACTTAACGAGACAGTCTGCAAACCCCTATCCACCAGGTGATATACGCAGCATGAGTTTCCCGGGATGCGTGTGTCCTGACGGGGCTCAATCAAGGATTTAATTAATAGCTGAGAATCAAATATCGCAAAGCTCTCCCAGAGGGCCGAGGCAGAGGGCAGGAGGCAGAGGGCCGCCCTGTGAGATTACATGCTGAATGCAGCCCTAGCACCCCACTCTGTGTCCGCGCCTGGGGCCTCGTTTGCTGCTCCAGCTGCTTTTATGTTTTCGTGCGTCTCTCTCTCTCTGATGTGACTCTGCTTCAGAGGCATGCAGATGAATTTCTTCTTCCAGACCCCACACCACAGGTCCGACTGGAAACGGCCCCGACACACAGGGGATTGATTTCTGCAAGAACATTAGCGCTTCTCGATCTGGATATTAAACTCTGATCTCTGTACTCTGTTGTTTGCTATGTCCTATTGATTACATCCTCGGTTTCACTGGCAACCATGATAGAGCTCCCCCCCCCCCCAAAGAAGAGGGACACCCGCAAAGATCGCACTTTACCTTCCATGAAGAAATAAATCGCTCAGTCCTTTGGCAGTGCAACAAGCTGATTTCATTGATGCAAAACTCTCGTGTTATTTTCTCGCTGTTGTGGCTCCGGGGGTGTTACTGAAGTTTAAGCTTTGATAGGGTGAGTAGTGCCTCATTCTTCATGCCCTGTAACCATGTGATGTTGGTAGGAAGGCTGCAGTTTCAGCAGGCTGCTTATTCATGCACTCTGGGGAGCTGTACAGTCAGGCAGCTCATATCCTACCTGATTTTCTCTTCTGTCGCTTTGATCGAAACAACCTCCAGCTCGGAAAGGAATTCGCTGACGACAGACGGCTTGAGGAAGAGTGAGCTTGTGTGAGGCTGTGCCATGCGGTAACCGGCCCTGTGCCCATCAGGTGGCGGGCAGTGCGCTGTGGAGGCTGTCTGTCCCCATTTAGACGCCCGGAGCGGCCGGTCGATGGTTCAGCAGCTTCCGAATAGACAGATCGCCATCCTGTAAAAGCGAAGATTCCCCAGGGTCTCATAGTCCAGGCTGTCACAGGGGCACGGATACTCTGGCAGATTCCGGGGGGCCAGCACTTAACAGGGGCCCTTCAATACATAAAATTATATGTAAAATTGAGTGGGGAGGGGGGTTTCAAGGTGACATTTTGTGGAGGGGGGGGGGGGGAATTTCTAGCCACCCCATTATTCAGCAATATCAAACAGGGGTTAATTTGGACATTTCGGTGCTGTCTTCCTGGGAGAAATGACCTTTGATTGTTTATCGATGAATATTACAAAAAGCCATTTAACAAGCAATAAGAAATATGAATCGGGCTGCAGGGCAGACAGCTCAGCTAATGTTCGCGGGCTGGTGTCACGCTCCATCTCTCTCTGCCTGCTTTTAAATCCACAAACTCTCATTCCTCGCTAAATCTAAGGCTTACTCTTCGCAGCGCTTTGATTTCACTCTGGCTTTGGTGCAAATGTGCCGGCGAATTTCCGTGCCACGTTCCTGTGTCGCCGGAGCACTGGCGCCGAGCTGCTGTCACAAATCAGTGCATTTTAATTACAGGCAAATTAAGCGCGGCTGCTGACGAAGACAATATGGGGAACCTCTGGAGGCAGGAGATAAAGTGAGGTGCCAGCTGTCAGATACAGTGATGGCTGCCCATTATTACGGAACGGTCTGCCCATTATTTGTCTGCTGTATTCTTCTGGAATCTTAGACCATACAGGAGGAGAATCCATGCTTTATGCTTCATACTGGGTCTGGGCTTTCTGTTCAGACAGTAAAGTCATGCAGCAGTAGCTGACTGTTTTATTGCTGCCCCATCGATTTATAATATGATATTCTGAAATTTCCAGAGCTTGTCACCCCTACGGTCTGCAGTCTCCTGAATCTAATACAAGCTCAGGGTTGAATCAATCTTAACCCAGTAGGTTTAGCTGTTGGATTGATGTAATAGATGTTGACAGCAGGGAAAAATGGGTTTTGTTGTTTTTTTATTCATTTCATGTTGTATCTTGCTTTTTGACAATAGAGTGATGGCACCATGTAGACTACACGTGCTTTCGGATGCTTAAACAGCACACAGCTTACATAGAGTAAACTTCCTGTAGCTGATCTTGCTCTTGCAATCAGCCTTTCTGAGAGACTAGACCCCTGAGATTGTCCACTTATGGTGTGTTTGTTGAGTGGGAGTGTGTGAAACTGGGCACTTTGAGGTCTTCTAGACCAGTTCCCTCCGCCTCCTCTTTTTTGCAATGCCTTCTTGTTCCTAGTTCTGCATCATTCTCAGCAGCAGAGAGACTCACACCTGCCACTTCAGTTCACCTCTTACTGCCCCACCCTCTCATTTTCCTCAGCCAATCACATCAGTGCGACGCCGATGATCTCAGCACCTGCGGAGGAGAAGGGTGACCTCAGCAAACTTCTATAAAACGATGCCGCGATGACAGCAGTCCAAGGTACCCCCCAACAATGTCAATCCTGCCGCGTTTCCACCACCAGGGGGCTCTCAGCTTCAAACACTAACCTCAGGACAAGGGCCCAGCAATGCCCCAAACAAACCCCCCTTAAGTGGCCCTATTCCACTGTTTTGATTCAATAGCACGTTTGTCCTGGCAGCCCCCGCTCCCCTGAATGGCGGCAGTGGGGGTTGCTCCGTACTCACCTCTCCCAGTCCCCTGCGTGGATCTTCCAGGGAGCTAATGGGCATGCCATGCCTGTCAGAGTGTGAAGGCGGCCCTCCTTTGTGCCGTGCCCCACCCCCCGCCGTCAATGCAATGCTGCAAATGTCAGAGGCTATTGATTGGGAGCCGGGTGATAAAGACGGAACTCAGAGAGGCCGCCTTTGTACTGTCACGCCGAGGAGCCGGAATTCCAGCGCGGACTGAGTCCGGACCGCAGATACCACACTGCTCCGCTTTGTGCTGGATGCTTTTAATAAACTGTCAGTCAGAGTGGACAGGGAGCACCGTGAATCCTGGCCGTGCGTCATGCAGATACACGTTTCAGGACCATAAGTACAATGTAAAGAAAACAGGATGTCATCTTTTAATATTACAAAATGATATAGCAATTTTAATATCTGAACAGGTATTTCAGATTAAGTTTTTAAATGGAACATCAAACTTAAAATGATTTTAAAAATCTGTGATTAACTAAAGCTGTTGTATGAGTTGAATCTGGAGGTCAGTGTGCATGTGTGGGTCCTTCTCATAAACTCATTAACATCATCACTCTAATTTTAATTAGTCTGAACCTACAGAAGTACAACTTCATTGTCTAAACTGCCGATTTGGCAGGTTAATCAGACGTATTATATACTACCAGCTATATCTGTAAGCAACAAAAGCATTTAATCAAATACAGAGCAAGAGTTACAGAGATAAGGAAAAATTGCAAAACCAACAAAAACTGAGCTCTATATATATACAATATATATATATATATAATTCAAATTAATTGTTTATTATGGGTTATATGCAAAAAAGTAGCAAGATTTAAAAATATAATTGGCTTCAGATGCAGGGTGCATCAGCCTCACGCCCTGTGCTGCCTGGGATGGACTCCAGCCCTCCCCCCCCCCACAATCCTGACCAAAATACGAGGTCAGGAGATGGATGAATGGATCAACTTAGACTGTAGAAAACAGCAAACTAAAGCAATAAAAGGAAAAACTGTAGTGCAAAGTGAGGAAAAACTGTGACATGTGCATGCTGGTCACATGTCTTCATCCTGTCATGAGGATTGATGCTGTGATGTTCGGTTATCAGCCAGACATTATTATTCTGGCAAAGTCTCCTTTGTTGCGATTGATTTTCATGACAGATACCTTTAAGTGATATATGGGAATATATAAATGGAATGAAACATTCACGATTACTTGAGCTCGATTGAACTTGAATTTTATTTATAGCCAAATTGTATTTGTCTGACGTCGAAACATCACAAGCACAGATGGTGATGTTTCCTCCAGTAATGATCAAATGCAGAAAACCTGGAAAGAGCTTAGGAAGGGATTTTACATTGTACTATAGGCTATAGACCATTACCACAAAAATGTAACATTTTCATTTCTTTGCCTTGACATCATTGCTTTGATTTCATGCAAAAGTCCTTCATTCTCTCGCTTAATGGAGCTCTCTGTTGTACATCGTGGACCATGTTCTCTCTCCCTCACACTTCTCACTTGGGAATGTCTCTGCCTAAGCATCAAACCTACACACTGAGCTTCTGGATCAAGCCTAGCCTGGACTCAATAATGCAACAAAGTCACCGACCAATCCCTGTTACAGGTCACCGGCCAGCAACGTGGAAAGCCAATCAGAAGCCAACAGTCAGCGCTCCTGCTTTGACACATGAGGTATGCCTGGCTATACTGGATGATCAGCCCCAGAGCAGGACCAAAGAATATTAGAATTATTTGTTTTCTTCCTCTAGTTCCCATGTGGCTCCTTTACCCTTTTAAAAATGTTAAAATCCTGCTTGTTTTTAGTCTGCCAGTAATCTGTTACACTCTCATTAATGTCAGCTGCCACTGTAGCCCATCTGTAACTCTGATGTTGCATCCCGAGTAAAACCACGTTGGAAAGAACCTAAAGGAAACACTGAAATGAACCGAACTGAACTGTAACCTTCAGAAGAGAATACATGGTGCGTCGGTCAATATGGCTGCTGTTTGAAAGAGAGCGGAGTGAAGCGAATGAGCATGACTGGGGGAACAGCGAGGTCCTCTGGGCTGTAGACGGCCATGGCTCTAGGATGGCAGGCATGGAGGTTTCATTAGAGAAAACGGAATATGAAAGACAGCGGAGCGATAAAACCACGCGGCTTTCCATGTGCTTTGCCTGACTGCGATCCAATTAGCTGGCTGTTTGAAACTAGCAGAAAACCCATTAGGAGTCAATTAAGCGGAAACGTGGCACAGAAAATTAATAGGTGGGCCATTGTTACATTTATCGGTTGACCTTTACAAAAAAAGCAATGTTTCTCTTTAATTCCAGCTCTGCTAGCAATCCTCCCTTTAAAGGGACTTTAGCTGCTGTTTTGATGATTTTGGTTTCGAGTTGTAACATTCAGACCCGAGTGACACAATATCATCTTCAAATAGCCACATGGAAAGTCTTTTACAGCAATCTGAGGGGTTTATTACAGAGTGTTTCAGGACCATTGTTCAAATAGGTGGACTCGTTTTATAGCTCTCATCTTAATAGGATTTCCAGAGCTTTTGATATAGAAATGCATGTCCTGTTTTAAATGAATTTTTTGAGCTTTAGTATTAAATGAAATACCACAAGCTTTCAGCATACAAAAAAATATACAGTCCCTGCTCTGAGTGAATTCTTAGATTTGATGTTGGAGTGAAGACATAAAACACACTAAGACGGAGAAGATGGGTGGAGCAGTTTGAGCTGGAGTCTGGAATGAGCAGAAGAGCAGGAGGACAACACAAGGTGCGGCCAGGCCTGGCCCGGTCTGGGTGTCAGGCCGGCTCTCGTGTCGCGCCATCTGCCGCCAAAGGAGCAGGAGTGGCTGGCTGAGGAAGAGTGTCGATCGCTAAGCCTGCAGAATCTTCTGGATGATTCAGAGAGGCTGGAGAGCATAGGGGTAGGTCTGTGTCCTTGCAAAACTCAGTATTTCATCACAGCATCACGGAAGGCAAACTAACCAGGGGCGGAAATGTAAAAAATGAAACAAAATATGATATAAACAATATTTATATGCAGGATGGTCAGCTCAGCCCGGACACAGAACCACATGGCCCAAGGGAATCTCAAAAAAGGGCCTCTATTTGTGATCTTTCCCCAGCATCCCGCGGATCAAGGAGCTGGGGTTTGATATAAACCTCAGCGCTGCGACTCACGTTGCCGGTCCCGGTGGCGCAGCCTCGAGAAGGACGAGTGCGCGTCTCCGATTAGGGTCTCGCGGCTCTGTTTCCAGCTCACGCCGCCGCCAGCGCCGCTCAGCCAGCAGCCCCAAAGGCTCGGGCGAGCTGAAGCGGGTCATTGTGCACGACAGCTGGCCGCCTTTTCCTGCTGCCAGCTGCCTGTAACGTTAGCTGTACCAGCTGTGTCCCAGCCAGCAATCAGAGCAGCCGTGAGGACCCCATTTGGCTGCCCGCCTCAGTGCCTGCTGCTTATGTTGCAAAAAATATGCATAAATATAATATACTAAATAGATTTTTTTTTTAAATCTATATGTAGCTTTTTTTCCAGGAGCATAACTGTATCTTCTGTGATGAGATTCAGTTGTATGCTTTATGCACTTCTTTTTATTTATTCAAAACTTAAATTCCAGTTTCTTTGGTTTTTAATATGAAGCTATTCACCAGGGGTGAGTCTATCCAGGATTTTACCCTAAGTAGGGGCTCAACCCCCTGAGGAAATATGGGACCAAACAGGGTCCCATTCACTCCAAACAGAATAAAAGTTACCAAACAGAATTAATGTTTTTTTTAATAAATTAGCAAGGCAGACCAGCACCTTAAACTAAGACAGCTTGCCTTCACACAAAGACGGGCACAGTGATCCATATACGAGTACTTTTGAAATAATCTGATGTAAATTCGGTTGGAAGTAATTAGCATAAAATACATTATTTTAACAATTATCATTGTATTAGCATATCATTTAACTGCTGAAATCCATATGACTCCCCTGGGAATGTTACTTTTCAATACTCCTCACCTGAAGCCCGGGCCGTCAACTGCTACGGTAATTTAAATTCCGTTAATGACTGATTTACAAAACACTTTTTTTTTCCCCACAGTAATTTGCTCCTGCCTGAGAAGCACAGAAGATTCTAATCAACATTAAATACGTTAAATGTATCAAGCTGTACTAAAAACACGGGCCGCTTTGTGTCTGTTGAATGAAGAAGCCATTTTCCCGTGCGTGAGTATGGTCTACGCCTCCACGCCGCTCTCCAGCCGCTCATCTCCTTTTCTGCTGTTTGCAGGTTGCCTCTAAGGAGTTTCAAATCAATTTCTGACTACAGATTTGCGGCATATTTAATAATGGATGCTGGGGGGGGGCGTCTGGACTTGCTTGCAGGGAAGCTGAGACATATCACTGAATTATGTCTGGTTACATCACATTTAAATAGGTCATAAGGTGTCAGGTGGGTTGCCATGGTGTCTTTTGCCTTCAGAATTTTTTTCCCCTCAGTAGCCAATCACAACCCAGCAGGTAATTATTCTTCAGTGCTCGCACCACCAAAAGTAAACATAGACTTGTGACAGGTACAGCGTTGCATGTAAACATTCCCTCCGTGTTACTAAATCGGCATGTTTTTCTCACCGACGCATTATTATAACAAGCATAGCTGTCAGTCCTTTGTGTCACGGTGTGATTGATGGCCAGTGAGAGTTGGGACGATGACCGTCGTCATGGCCGCACGGCCTGCTGGGAAGTGCCAAAGTGGCCATTTGACGGTAATTAGTGGTGAGAAAAAGGGGCGGGGGGGCAGGGGGAGGGGAGTTTGTCTCTACTTCAGCCCCACTCCCAGGGCAGCTCTGAGAGGACCGTGGGGATCAATAGCCTGATATTCTGCCTACCCCAAAACCCTGCCGGTCTCTGGGGGAGGGGGGGGCACACAGAGACAGCAGCTGTCCATCATTAATCTATTATTCATCCTCAATTCATTTGAAGATCGAAAAAAATGGATTGTATTTTCCTTTTTTACTGTGGGGGGGAGGGCGCTGCAGTGACTCCATGTTTATTCTCGTAAAAAGATGAACCCCCAAAGACTGATGTGATTAATCAAAGGCTTCCCAGCCTCAAAGAAACCTGTCTGAGATATTTTAATACTAGCATGCCAAAGGATAATGCATTCATCAATTCCTTAAGAACTGTATTCCCAAATGATAATAACGTTATTTTTTCTACCTCTGAGACATACACATCCAAAATGTTTTAGACGTTGGAAATTCTTAAATGTCGTTTTTTTTTTTTGTTTTTTGCTGTTACTATGTTTATTAAGTTCCAGACACGTCATGATGAGACTTTGAAATGATCACAAGCCAGTGTAGAGACTTGCCTACTTTAAACAGCTGGTAGAGTGATCTGCAGGTTTTGATGCCATTGGAGTGAAAAGCGCAGCACGTGAGATGAATCATTCGCTGCACAAATATCTTTTTTTCACTCTACTTCTGTTGAGGTCTCAGCTAAGCCTGAGCACTGAGCAAGTGTATGTCTGAGGGAATATCGGAATGTCTTTTTGAAATATTCTTGCCGTGGGAGGCAAGGTGGGGTCACTCAGACTGATCCCAGGCCTGCCGTGGCCGCTCGCCGGACGCCTGAGTGTGTCACACCTGCTGGGGGGTCGGATCAGCGCGGCGTGTCTACCTGGCGGCCCCGCAGAGCGAGCAGGAGCAAAGGAGGCAGACGGACCGGGAGTGACGACGGAATGCTATCGCTGCTAATTGCCAGGATTTACTGGGCCTAACGATCAGTCATGGTGCCCCAGAAGCGGAGGCTGATTAATGGACCGTTCACCTCGCCGCCACCTTTCCCAGCATCAGAGCCCAGCAATTTCCTGGAAAAGCGTCAGCCTGTCACACTGCACTTTCTCTGTTCCACCCGCCCACCCAGACACATTCACCCTCACCCTGACTGGATGAACCCCCACCTTTGCAATCAACTCTACATTCTGACTAGAGGTAGAATTAACCCCTTCACACAACATCTAAAGGTAATGATACACTGGGCAACACAATGTTGCTGCCAACCAGGTGAGACAAAGGACATCTGGATGACCGCGAAAAGTTGCCCATTGGCCACTTAAAGTTTTTCAAATAGAAATTTGTTGCCCAATATCAATGGGAAAGTGCCTGAGCAACATTAGTCAGCAACGCTGCTCAAAATGTTGCCCTCTGAATCATCACCTTTACTCACAATAACCTTTATCAAGCTGGTGACCTGCATAGAACTAAGAAATAATCACATTTTTTCATGCCACCTGCATTCTGGTATCGCCTGAGACAGAACAACACGGTGAATAAAATGAGCGAATCCGGTGACTCCCCGATGAGCCCCGAGGGATAAGCAGGCACAGGGATTTGCCGGGAATACCGAATGTATTTTGCATGCTGAAATAACACAGGCTGGTCCAACACAGCCTGAACGCTTGGGAACAAATGTGTGCTTGATTTCGACATGTACTGTATTATAGTGGTCAGGTACTAAGCAGAACAGGCAGACAGATATCGCCAGACAGGTCACGTGCCTAGCGGGGGGGCAACAGCAGGCGGTTCTGCATCACACTTCAAGCCCCTTAAGCTCATATGCTCAAATAAAGGAAGCAGTTTTGCTTCATCTGAAGCTACTTTCAAATTCCACGTATTGCACAGCTGGGTATTTTACTTGAGAAATCCTTTCAAACGTATCACTGAATGCTGCGGCAGAACCCATTGTGGGACTTCAACAAGCACACTTCAGGTGATGGGTTCCTTAAAGGCTATAAGAATCTGTTGGCTAACATTTTAGCTATTTTATTAATAATGAGAAATTGATTCAAAGATCATACACATGGATTAGTTAGCATGAGATTAGCATTGATAGCATAACAACATGAGTTCATGCTGCTGTAGTGATTTTACAGTTAGCTGAGGAAACTTCAGTTACATCCAGAATCCATATGTTTATAGCTCAATAACTTTCACGCATGTAACCTTAAAACAGTCACCAGTTTATCTGAACATCTGGGGAAATCGGAGCCCAGAGTAGCCGGTGGAAACTCGCATGAGTGAAGGTAGGGCAGATTCAGACATGTGAGGCAACAGTGATATACCCAGTGAGTCATCGCATTGCCCAAAATGCAGACGTGCTGAGGATTGATTTGGAAATGTAAACAGAATTCAAGCTGGGATAGCGAGGCAGCAGTTATCCCGGCGGAGCGATCGATAACGCGATGACCCACGGCATCAAACGTGAGGATGAGAGGCCATCCAAGATCACCAGAACCTGTTCAACTTCTGAATGAGTGTCAGACGCTAAAATGAATGCTATGTTGGCTACACTTTTACATTCGAGCAGGGGGCGTAGAGACTTGGGGGATGTTTAATTTGGATTCATTCATTCAACCCGCCCAATAAATAGCCCGTTGTACAGTATTTAAATATTAAGTTCTGTCCAGAGATGAAGATTTCTAGCCCAGAAAGTACAAATCCAGACTAAGATTTTGTTTCCACCAGCCAGTTGAGTATAAAGCATCTCAGTACTCAGCTGGTTGGGTGAAAAAAAATCTTGGTCTGGATTTGTACTGTTGGGATCTAATCTTTCCACCTCTGGTTATTTCCTCCTGCCAAAATCAAACTCTCTCCTACGCTGCAGCATTTGGGTACTTCTTGAATTTTATAGGTATTCTATTCACATTATTCAGGAACATTTTTTACATTGGGCAGATACATTTATCCAAAGGGATTTACATTTTTGGGAAAGCAGGGTGCAGATGGTCCCTGGGTTTTGCCCAAGGATGACATCACTCTACCAGCCCAGGACTGGAAATAGCAACCTTCCAATTAGCGGCACAGCATGCAAACAGGTGAGACACCCACTGGCCAAGGAGCACAGCCTCTCATATATTATGTAACACTGTAATTGATTATGAATCAGCTGCCAGTTATTAATTCTACTCATTTGCATATTTTATATTTGCTGTTTTACCAGGCTTTGAATAAAAAGCTGCCTCTCGCTTGGAATGCCCGTGAAGAGCTTGTTTCCTTTTCAGCAGAACCCAACAAAGCGTTCCAGTTCCACGGTGTTTCTATTATCAAACCGTAATATTATCCTCCATAGTGCCTAATTGTTTGAGTAATTGTTGGCTAAATGACATGAAGTCACATAATCCTGCGGCAGGAGCGGGAGCACGGCCAGTGCTGCGAGCCCTGTGTCAGGTAGCACCTCCCCGACCTTATTATGGTGTGCTCACCTGCCCTGTGCTAACGCAGTCGGGACCCTGTACCATCATTCGCAGAAAGCTCTCCTTTTGCAAACCGGATGATGGAAGAGTCCTTTATCCCGACTGTAACTGCCAAACTCTCTCGTCGACCTGCAAAGGCCCCAGCCGGGAAACAAGTGGTACTTTTTCCCACAATCCCCTGCTGTGGGCGCTTCCTCCAGTTGTCCGCTTTCCCCTGGTTACTCTGACAGCCTTTCTGTGCCCAGGGCCGGTGGGTGGGTGGGTGGGGGGGTAGGAGTTCTGCTGTGACTTTGCCTCTTTTTAAACTCCGCCGCCTCTGAGTGACAGGCCTGCACTCTCGCTGAGCCGCAAAGGCAGCCAGAGCTTTGGCTCATGCTGTGCTCCACGCATTAATTAAGCCACACAGCTGTGACACATTCCTTTGAATGCACATTGTTTTGCATTTAGACCCAAAATGAAGGAATCTGCCTTTTTTCCCATAATGGTTACAATACGCATTGCTCAGTAATGCAGCCTTCCATAGCGAGAGAAACGGCAGCTTCAGGAACTGTGTGCATGGTTTAGATTAATTACACCCTTACATGTGACTAGGACTCACATTTTAATAATGACATCATTTATACTTCAGACATGCATCTATCAATCCTCCCCATATCTAGGACAGGATGATTAGGGGCTTGGAGTCTGTTTCAGGTACCACCGGGTAACGAGGCAGGGGACAGCCGGGGTAGGATGCCAGTCCGTCACAGGGCAGACACATGTACTATCGTGTTACGGTTCACTGAACATGTGGGAGGAAACCAGGGGATTCACCGAAAACACACACAGCATGGGGAGGGCAAATACACCCCACAGCACGTGGGGGTGGGCAGTGGTGTGCCTGGACACTCTGGGCCCCCTATCAAAATGTCTCTTCCCCCCTCTCCCCCACCCCATCCAGTTTTATGTATAACTTTACATATTCATGGGTCCCTATCAAGCGCTGGGCCCCCTGAATCTGCCCGGGAATCCACGCCCCTCTGGCGCTGCTGGGGATGGGTATGAACACCCCCCCTCCTCATGTCCTTATGGTGAAGCCGGGGAGTCACACGTACAACCACTGCAGTGTTATAATAATGACAAACTACAGCTTCCATGGAACCGCTGAGGTGCAGTAGGGGCGGGGAGGCTGTCCCACCATGAGGAGCACAGGGCTACATGCAGACCTCCAGCTGAGATCAGGATGAAGAACATAATGATGTGCTGGCAGTGAATAGGAACAGAAATGTTCTTTACAGGTACATGCATTGTTAATGGCAGTGAGATCAAGGCTATGGCAAGTCAATATCTTACCCATGAATTGTGATTAAAAACGGCGGCCCAGCGGCAAGCAGTGCCGCCTCACGCCTAGCTCTCTGTGGGCTGGTCTCTGCCCTGCTGTTTCACTGGAATTTGCATGTAATCCTTCTTGTGCAGGTCTTCTCCAGGTGCCTTGCTTTCCCCACACAGACCAAAGACAAGTTTCTAGGTGATCCCATGTCACTAACTTGCCCATAGGCTGTGAGTGTGCTTTGTGATAGACTGGCATCCCTTCCAGAGTGTCTCCTGCCCTGCGCCCTGTGTTGTGTGGAACAGACTTCAGGTACTGGAAACAGGGCCATGAAATATGAGCAAAGTGGTTTATTCATACATACAGACGCTCCTCTACTTACGAACCTTCGACTTACGAACTTTCAGACATACGAACGAAGAGGACTGAACGTCCAAGATGTGTTCATTGGGTTCCCGTTTCCTGTCCGCAACATCAATTTTTTTTCCTGCGCGCCAATTCCGCCAAGCGGCGCAGCGTGCGTACTCCCAGCATCCTAGTTCTTTGTACTTGCGTATACCCTTAAAATGATGTTGAACTTACGAACATTTCAAATTATGAACGGCCGTTCGGAACATTTCTCGTTCGCAAGTAGAGAAGCGTCTGCATATGCATGGTATTAAGGTATAATCATTACTCCATTTTATAGATGAAAGTATGAGTAAATAGATATATAGACTACCATTTAAAAAGGACATAGCTTTATTACTGTTCTCTTATTTTATCTGCTGCTCTTTTTTCATTCTTATCGTATTCACTTTGCAGCAATGTGAACTGATCGTTGCTAATGCTTGTTGTCTATCATTCTTAGATTAACAACAAAATTTAATGATGCTTCAGCAAGTCCAATGCATCAAGCTGCTACTCACCTAGCTACTCAAATTATCTCCACATGGCACTTTGGATAAAAGTGCTTCAATCCAGACAAAACAAAATGCCCATTTATTCTAAGTACGTAAAGAGAGTCCTGTTACTCCTCTTCAGAGGTTGATAGTTCAGGTGCCGAAGGTAAAAATCCAGACCAAGATTTTGTTTTAACCAACCAATTGAGTATGAGTAGTCATGTTCACCAAGTACTAAACTGGTTGATTGAAACAAAATCTTGGTCTGGATTTTCTACTTTTTGGACCTGAACCTGCCACTGCTGCTCTTCTTCATAAAGTGTCTGGAGAAGCAAGGGGCCACATCACAATGATCCTAATGATGTGACGGCATCTAGTGGGTCCCAGGACTCAAAACTCCCCCGAAAGACTGAACGTCCAGCCTCCCTTTGAGCATAGAGATCTCATCTCCGGGTACACCGCCGCACGCCCGTCTGTTAATATCCGCAGTTACCCTATAACTGCACCATCCTGCAGGTCCCCAGAGAGCAGATTACCATCTGAAGAGCGTCATGTGCCCAGCGGCGGATGAATCACCCGTCGGCGCTGTCTCGCGGCCAGGGGCGTGCTCAGTGCCGTATTGTCGATTCTCTTTATTGGAAACATTGATACTCAGGCAGCATATATATCACTGTACATATATAGCACTCTGACCTGCCAAACGGGGACATTAGCTAAGCCTATAAGCCAAGCCTTGGGGTGGCAATGAGAGCAGCCATTTCCATCCAACGGCATCACATTGAAAACAAATCAAACAATACAGGAGGGAATTCTGTTTTATTCTGTTTTTCACATTACATGACACCTTCCGATGACATACATTCTGGGACCTTTTGATCCTCGATCAGCTTTCTCCATCATTTATATTCTCTGTCCTTCGTAGCGGAGCTGTAAATAAAAATATTTTATATCCCTGCTGTAACTACAGCGAGGATTTCTGGGCACTGCAAGCTGAGCTAGCAAATGTAATCCTGCATTTTTTTATGAATATAAACTACAAATCTTTCATGGACCTACTCCCCAAAACAGCAATAAAAAGCAGATATTATGCATAAATCTGTGACGAGTGTCAGAATCCAAGAGAATAGAAGTATGTATTGTAATCAAAATAAATTCTTTACATGTCGCTGTTTATACATGCAATGGCAATTTTTAAATATTCTATCTGCAATAATATGTCTGGGAATAGAAACCATTATAATCGTGGGTTGGGTGGGAAAACGGCTTGATATTAAGACTAAAAAGTTTGTTGAGAGGTTCAGACTCCAGTCGTTTTGAGGTAGGGAGATGCTTCACTGAAGCACTTTCTTTTGCCTGGAACCGTGAGAGTGAAGCATAAAATAATTCAGCTGAAGAATCTCCAGCGATGAGGTGGGGCAGGGCAGATAAAGACTGTACCATGTTCCATCTCTGACACATATTAAATGATCCATAAAAGTCCATTTTTGGAACCAGCTGTGCAGTGCAAAGTAATCCTGCACCATCCTGAGCCAGTAAACCAAGAGAGAAAAGGCAGAATAATAATTATTGGGTTTTTAATTGCCAGTAGAATCATCCACCAGTCCGTCTTCCATATTGCACATTCAACACAGCCAGTATGGTGCTTACTGGTGTGCAATGCCCAATATAATTACATCAATTTGCATCTGCTAAGCTGATGGGCAATAACATAATAGTATCACATAAAAACCCAAAATACATCGTTTAAGACCAAAATAAACCATTTCATTAGAGACATTTTCCTCCAGTAGTAGCACTATAATTATCGCTGAACTTCATTGCTCATAAAATGACCGGGGAAGTCGATGTCATATTTCACTGAATAAATGCTCCCTGCATTTCCATGAGCACTTTCGCGGTGCAGGATCGTGGCAGAGGGAATAAGGCGGGGTGCCCAGTCCTGCACTGGGCTGACACACGTATATTATGGGCAATTTGGGGACTCATTCGGCTAATTGCAACTAATTCAGCTAATTGCATGTTTTTGGATTGTAGGGGGAAAGTGGATTACCCAGAGAAAGCAGACAAACAGCGGGAGGACATGCAGAGTGCACAGACACACAGGTGCGAAGCAGCCCTGCAGTTGTGAGGCCACAGTGCCCCCCCCCCACACCCAAAAGCCAGCAGTAATACAGCCCTTTGCTCCTGGTTGATGTGCTACTGGTGCAGATCTCCACACTGAGCATGTGCCTCGCCCCCCTGTGCTGGGGAGTTCCGGATCACCTTGGCCCCCGCTCCCCTCGCTTTTGAAAGCCAGGAGAATAGCGGGAATCCCTCTTTTCAACCCAAATGCAGAAGCAGCCAGTGCAAAAGCGCCATTCTCATGGTGGTCCCTCCCCAGTGAAACCAGGGGGGGCTTCACAGCGGTTGGACCAGCTCCTCATTAACCCGGCCCAGACCGAGGACCAAAAGCCTGTTTGACCTTCTTCAGCAAGGCCAGAAAATGCATATTAATGCGGTAATTACCTCTCTCCCCCTCCCCTGTGCCTCCCCCTGACCGTGCCCCGCTTTGTAGAGCTGTGAGGAACCTCCCCCACTCTCTGAAGGTCCTCCTTTTTCAAGTGGGACGCCTCATTGTGCTACGTTTGCGTGTCGCTTTTGTGTGTCGCCAAGAAGGAGCTGCCAGACCCAGAATAATGAGTGGGTAATGAATGCGTCTATGGCCGGCTTTGTGGCTGTTTTCTGCTGTGGGATTAACACTCCCATTCCTCTGGGTCCAGGAAGGCCATGCAATTCCTTTTTTCCTTTTATTTTTTAACATTCTTTCACTGTGCTGTGAGCTATTCCTAATTTGAAAAAAAAAAAACCTTAACCAAAGGCAAAGTGTACAGCTGACCTGCTGAATGTACAAAACCTGTAGCAAACCAACTACATCACACACTGCATTACATTCACAGACATTTAATAATGGTTAGTTTGTTACAAATAAGATATTTGTGCTTGTCATCCAGTCACACTCCATATTGGTTAGTTCTTGTGATTATATCTTTAAAATATTACTTTTTATTCAGTACAATTACCTATCATTTTCTGTGGTAAAAATGAAAATATCTACAAAAACATTTTATAACCTTCAACACTGGAATTGAAAAGCAGCTTATACAAAAATGAATGAATGAATGAATGAATCAATCAAGGTCCTTCTGTGATCATCTACACATTTTTTAGGATTTAATTCCTATAAAATATAAAAGTTTAAATGTTATTAGTACGGTCCCCTCGCACCTCTGGGACCAGGGTTCGAGTCTCCAACATGGTTCCATGTGTGTGGGGTTTGCATGTTCTCCCCGTGTCATTCAGGGGTTTCCTGCAGGTTCTCCAGTCTCCCCCCCCCCTGCCCCCACAGTCCAAAAACATGCTGAGTTGAACTGGAGTTGGCAAATTGCCGGTAGGTGTGAGTGTGCCCTGCGATGGGTTGGTGCCTCATCCTGGGTTATTCCCTGCTTCGCGGCCATAGCTTCCGGAATAGGCTCCGGACCCCCACAACTCTGCATACATCAGGCAGGTATGGAAACAGGGGAATGAATGAATAGTTTGTAATGACGGGTTTTAAGCTTCAGGTTTGCTGAAGGCCGTGAGGAAGGACGGCTTGCAGTGACCGTGTGTTAACATTCGATCAGAAGAGGGCCGCTCACTGTGCACCATTATATAAGCCAATAAGCACAAAACCGTAACTGCGTTTAAAGCCAGAAAGTGCAGGACAGAGCCAGTGTGACACCAACATGACGGACTGGACCATGTTCCTCTGCAGAAATAACTCAAAGATTAACAAATATACAAAAGATGTAAAATATAACTCATCCATGTAACATCATGTATGGGATACCAGTCAAATGATCATATATGCAAAGATTTCACTCTCATTTCGTGATAGGGAACCAGTTGCAAATCCAGTCTTTTAATGGCTAAGATAACCTACCAGAATACTGGTCTCAATGGTGTCATACTAAAAAAGTTATTGACATTATTAGTTCTAAAGTTAATCCAGAAAAAATGCAAAAATCCAAACTTTTCCCTAAAAATCCCAAACGAAATGAAGCAGCAAAGCTGTTTTTCTCCAGTACACCGACCCCCCCCCCCGCCATTTCAGCCAGCGATTCATCACGTGCCACGAAAGCAGGTTCTGTAGGTGACCCGCGCTGACCTGCTCTGACCCACGCTCAAGTGACCCCTGCTGACTGTTTGTCCCGCAATTTGTTCTGCAGAGTCTGGAGCTGCTGTGAGGCACTAATGCAGCCCTGAGTGTGTGACTGACACGCAGCCCGAGACCAGTGAAGTGGGACTTCACCCTGGGAATCACTGCTTCACCCCTGATTTTGGTTGTACAGTATTTTACATCTAGCTGTACAATTACACTGCAAATCTTTCCTATCAATCATTAACTGTCTTGTATTTAGCAATTATAAAATCTGGTTAGGAAAGATTAACTTTTCCCGTGTCACTTACATTTCTAAGACTTGTTTACCTGTTTCTGTCACTGTCTTTTCAGATTCTCTAACCCTGCAACCTTGTACGTGTTTCTGTGCCTTTAATGGAACCTCCAAGCACTATTTTATGTACCGTATCTACTTATAAGTCTCGCTTACAGAGGTTAGCATTCAAAATAGCGTGTAACCATAAGTGGCATTCTTATACCCACAGAGGAAGTTCTTAAACTTATAATTAAAAGTCTTTTTAAATTCTTAAATTTCTTCATGTGCAGTAATGTCTGAAAGTGTGTTAAAAAAATAGTTAAAAAGTAATTAAAAATATATTTTAAAATGTATTTTATAAAGATGATACGTTGTATATTACTGAAATTTAGTGTGACATATTATTGTAATATTGAATTTAATGCTGACCTGTTATATTAACTGATGAATGAAAAATGCCCTTTAAAACAGCAAACAGTCCTTTGATTTTTTTAAGGTCACACTAATTAATTGTATTGCTATATTCTCTGAGGATTCTGTGTCGTTCTGATGTGATTAAGCTACACGGATGATAGGAGGGAAATGAACATGCAGTGGTTTGCTGCCTCCACCCAGCTGAACGGCCAGCTTCCCTGTCCATCTCTACACGCGTGTGACCTTGTGTGTGACCTTGTGTGTGACCTTTCACCCGCTCAACACTATAAATGAAGAACAGGGTCATTCCCAGGCCCAGAGCGTTTAACTCGAGGTCACATGACTGGCCGCGGGAAGCTCACAGATGTTGCGAAGTGAACAGAGGCCTGGTTGAACACCCTCCACCCCCCCCCCCCCCCCCACCCACTTCCTGTGAAAGGAGTCCCAGCAGCTGGTGGACAGATACATCTGTGCAGACAGCAGACATCTTCTCCCCTTTAGGGTGAGGTCATGCACGTTGCCATGCTCCAGATTCTTCTTGATTAGGTCCTTATTTTTCATAATCATAATCACAACAGATCGCTATGCAGCTTGGATCAGCGATAGGATTTCCATTGATTTATAGGCGCGCATTTATTTGAAGCTGCAAATTTATCAGTGTGAATGACCTTTTATTATTATAACCAATATTAGCTTTCATCCTCCTTCTGCAATGACCTTCAGCTGGGAGTCTTTTGTCTTCTGGGCCAGTGATTCAGAGCTGTACAGCTTCCAAGGTATCACCGGTTATACGTTCTAGTCCTTCGCATGAGTGAGTAAACAGGAACAGATTCAGCTCACACAAAGGACTCCCTGACCCAGCAATCTCGCAAAACGTGTCTTCCTTTCTCTAGTGCTACAATCATGCTATTTTAACTCACCATGTAAGGACGCTGATCTTATGTACGGGCTTACAGCAGAGGGGGGACTGCCCTGAACAGGAAGGGCACTTAGCAGTGAGCCTCTGAGTGAGCTATTCTTCTCGGGCTGCAGATTAACTCCTGACCAATTGAGCAACCGCAGCCCAGTTCCTTCCAGTGAATATACATAGTTTAAAACACAAGTGAGGAGGGCTGAGATCAAACATGGGGTGAGGAGGGAACAATGGCTGACGGGGAGGTGCTGGGGTTAATTTAGCAGATCTGACAGGTTTTTTCCTGTGCTTGCTTTTGGCGGCGTGAGGTTTGGAGCGGAAGGAGCCGGCCTGCGGGGCCGAGGGTCACACCTGCTCTTTAGGCCACAGTGTTTATCGACCTGCCGGAAACGGACAGAGGGCGGCCTCGTCTATTAGCCACGTGGCCGGCACCAGAACAAACAGGGCAGGTGTGAAGCACAGGCGATGTGGGTTCTGGCCGATTGTATGTGTGTGTGCTGTCTGACAGCCCAGCGTGCCGCTTTATCCGCTTTCCTCACTGCCATTGTTGGGCTCCAGCTAGTGACATCATGCCAGCATGGTCAATACAGGCTGTTGTTCTCTTTCCTAGGGATATCGCTCCCTGGACACCAGCCCCGCCCCCCCCCCTTCATGTGCAGTTTAGAGTTTCAGACCGAAGGTCGAGCGAATCTGACTGTGGCGAGAATGACTTAGTTAATATCCACAGAGGGCCACAGCATGCAGTAAATGTAAACAGAGACTGGCGTGAGGCGTGGAGTAGGGCGACCTGTACTGTGAGTATCACAGCAGAGGTAAACACACCTCTTTCCTTACACTTCTTCTTATTTCATGCGAAGACACCTAAAACCAGGACGTCACCATCTTGGTTTCCTTTTAACCGAATCTGAGGCAAGTTAAATTTCAACCATACTCAGCTACCTGTCTCAGAAGTGACCTTCCAGAATGTTCTTTTCTTTTCTTATCTTCCATAGCAGTGTGCTTATTGCACGGCACGTTTATTAAGCTGAGATGCTCTTCAGAACGCTCACAGAGCTAACCCCGTTACCAGTGTTCAGTTCACTACGTTCAGTGATGCCTTATTTAAGGTCTCAGCTGAAAGGACAATGGCCTCACAGCCAGAGAGGAGTCCCAGGGACGTGGCTGAGAGCCAGTGCCCTGCTCAGTGTGAGCATTCCTGCCTGGCACTGCACACAGTTACAGCGTCACGCAAGAAAATCCCAATGCAGTCATTCTCAAAACAGGGAAACTTCAAAAAGACCACCAACATCTTTTTGCCTTGTTTATCCACAAAATCTCCTCTTTTAAAGAGATATCGTGGCTGCTGAGCTGTTCCTTTCTTCACCGCCACTTCAGTGCAAATCACACTAAAGTATACCAAACATAGTATACCAAAACAGCATGATGTGGTTTGCTCCGCTAACCAAATTTAATAAAGATTACTAAGTTTTGGGTGTTACAAAATGCAACTCGTAAATAATCTGTGGGCGTAAATAAATGTCCGAATAGTACTGAAAAGCTGGCGTCGGGCCAAATGTTTCGCTTGTCATCTGAAGCCCTGGTGATTATTGTGTATGTGTGATATAATGTCAGTATGATATCCAACCCTACCTGTGTTTTGTGTCCAGCCAAACTTTCAGTTAAATATGAAGGGGAAACAGCGATGGAAAATCATGCAAAGCAAATAATCACCAGAAATTTGTATTAAGCAAACAAAAACATCTACCCGTTGCAACTTTTGGTGAAACCAGAACCTCAAGTTAGATAATACTTTAAATGATCATGCTTGGAGACTAAAGCTTTCATTGCGGGACAGCAGGGACTTCTGCAGGCAGCAAAAAGGGATGAAAAATGAGGAAAACAGGTGAGAAATGTCAGTGTTAGGTTGTCCAGATTCATTAAGTTGAAAAGTTGTTTATAGTTTATTGTGATACATCGAATTATGTTTTCATTGCTTTGGAAATAAAGGGATTAGGTTTTATAATAGATTATAATTAGACAGCATATGTTTACCCCGATCTACTGTTGCTGCTATGACCACATATTTTGTATAATATAAATATCATTAAATAATCATTAAAATTGCAAAACCTGCTCAGTTTTTTTTTCCTATATAAAAATGTTTTAGCAAAAATGATATGAGACATTATATATCATTCACCAGTTCCTCTCATGCATATTGACCATGTTGCATGAGGATATTTTCAGAGCTTCTGCACAGATTATGTAATGATCAAAGTCATAAGGCATTAAATGCAACATCCTGCTTTGAGGAAAACAAAGTGCAGTGAAATAAACTGAACTGTTTTAAAACAGCAAGAGAACAAGTTCAAATCGAAGGGCAGGCAGTAACACATTTCTCAGCATCTTGCTGCATCTGGAGGTGGGAGAGAGGGAGAAGATCAGCGATCTGCTGAATGTGAATCCAAATGCCTGTTCATTTGCAGCCAATGTGCTCTCCCATCTGTGCCCCTGACACGCCAACTCAAGGCATTCTGCAAATTCTAATCAGCAACCTCAGCTCATTCCTATCCAAGCCTGTGAACAGGCAGGGTCTGGGTCTTAGCCAGCCCTGAAAACAGGCAGGGTCTAAGCCAGCCATGAAAACAGGCAGGGTCTTAGCCAGCCCTGAAAACAGGCAAGGTTTTAGACCATCCTGAAAACAGGCAGGGTCTTAGCCAGCCCTGAAAACAGCAGGATTTTAGACCGTCCTGAAAACAGGCAGGGTCTTAGCCAGACCTGAAACAGGCAGGGTTTTAGGGCCAGAGCCAGCTGCCTCATCTTCGCTCGTAGCTGGATCCCATGTATGTGTTGTGTGCACATCAGTGCGCTTTCTCCCAGCAGAGCTCATCCTAACGACGTGATTAATGCAGGTGAGGGAGGCCAGGAGGGCGCTGTCTCACGGGGGAGCTCTAATTTCATTTGTCATTTCATTAGGACGAGTTACACATGAGTCACACCGTTCATTACCGGGCGGTACACAGCTGGCCGCGAGAGACGCCATGACTTGGCCTGTAAGATGAAGAATCTTCAACCCCCCCCCCCACCGCCCCCGCTCCCCCCCACCACAGGCACATGTTCACACGTGCATTTTCGCTCCATCTCCTTTCAAGGTAATTTTGACATTTTGTCAGCTCCAAATGTGAGATTTACCTTTGACCCCATGACAAACTAGAGGGGGGGGGGAGTCTTGTGGGCTGGGCTGTGAGGGACCCATTCTTGCCTCTCAGTGAACCCAGGCAGCCATTTACACCTGAGACCCCCCCTCCCGTTTCACCCAGCAGCCCTACCCAGCAAACTGACAGCAGACGGAGTCGACCACCCTCCTTCTGCAGGAGCTTCCAGTGTTCGCTGCCGCTGCCGCTGCCGCTCCTGTCCGCTTAGCTCTTATTGTCTTTGACATTTCAATCTGTATCAGCTCTTTAAGTGTGTGGGACAAATGCAGCAACAGATCAACAAACCCACATTCATTTCTCCGGTGGCGAAGGATAAGGGTGCGTTTCAGAAGAATGGGGGGGGGAGGCATTTGTGAAAGAGGAGTATCTGAGCCACCTGGGGTGTCGCTATGTGAAAAACACAAGAGCTTCCTTACCCTAGGGCTCCTGTGAGCACTCATGTTTCCTACAAAGATCTGCCTTAAACTGCGTGAGCCATTTCCCCAACCTCCAGCTGGGTGCGGCGTTTAAACTTCCTTTTAAGGCTATGATTCGTTTTGCCGTGTTCCAGATTTTTGGAATTAAATTCTGGATTTCATATCTGAGTATATAAATTACATGTATATGTATACATGTCTAGATTGTTCCATTCTTCATAAAAATATGGAAAAAAAAACATTGATATGCTCACCTACAGAATGCAAGATAGGGGAGGCGTAAAGAGAATTTACCCATGAGGATCAATAAAGTATCCATAATAATAATAATAATAATAATAATAATAATAATAATAAAGAAG